TTGAATACTAGTAAAATTTATTTTAATTACAGTGTGACTCAGTGATGAAAATAAAATTTAAGGAATTGTGACACGTACGTGAATGACTGATTCAGACTTTCACTAACTGTTGTGAATAACCCTCGAAATTGGAAGAAAAATATGAAAAGAATTCCGTTCTTTTATTTCTCCTCGCAATGTACAATTTTCTTTTGTCATTGTGACAAAGTCGGTCAACTTGACAGAACAACATTCATAACAGCAATCATCGTCATCCTGGTGTGTAAATTCTTCCCACTAGGCAATCTTCTGTGTAGGTGACTGAGTTATTTCAATAAATTAAGACCACCAGTTTATGCAGAATAACGAGGTGGTACCATCATTTATTTCGTCGGTTTCTCATCAGCTACGTACAACCCAAGGAATTAAATTCACTTTTATGTACAGAACAAGGCGTAATTCTTCTTCCTTATTGTTAGGCAAACATAATTTCATGACACAACACTGTCGTACAGTTTCCTTACTAATCCACATTTATAGGTTATAGGACAGAAGCTGTGTTGTAGTGAAGATACAGTTCGGTTCACGTATCTTTTCTGTAGACCGACTTTTAGATCCTACCATCGTTTCTTCTTCTTACATCAAGACCTGGGAAACTGAACTTATCGTTTTTGTATTATTCCATGGTGAAAACATCTAACTATTTGTGTGGCATTTATTGTCATTGTAATCATTTTTTTCATCACTGATGAAGTAATAATTGCCGTATCTTGTTTTTAACTTCTTTTCCAGGGTCATTTACTGCTGCTTTCTCTTTTGGCAATTTCTTCCGTGGAAAAAGTTCAGGTATGACATTCAATTCCTAATTTATACAGCTAAGTCCAGTATGTGTCCACAACAGAATCTGTCGGAAGCTATGTCAGAAAAAAAAGTAATCAAAGCCGGAAATTATCGACACAAAATTGACTAATGTCCTCTTAGGTTCCGTGTAGAACACAGCGCCTCAATAGCACATCTACATTTCATCCCGTTCTCTGAAGTCGCCTTTAGGTGGCTTCGTGATCGCCCATAAACTCTCATCTCTCCCTCACACAACCTCCTTCATGTCACCCTCAGATGTACGTCCAACTCATCGTTTCCCAGTCAGCTTCCACTCGAAAGTGAGGCAAACAGTGTCATTCAGCAGTCTCTTCAGGTTGTGTCGAGTCTATTTCTATTTGTTGGGTAATAGTTTTCTTGTTTGTTTAATTGTTTCTTTATTTCCTTCTAAGAGTTCTTTGTTTGCTGACGTTCTGGCTACCTGATCTCCAGTATTGACTGAGAAGTCTTCTATACGACTAGTCTCTGACACATATGGAAAAAACGATTTGACATTATTGTGTCGAAAATTCGGCTCTTGTTCCTCATACTGATTTAGTTAGACTTCCACACTTATTTCAGTCAGATTAATGAGAGTCTAAGTCACCATTTCAAATCCTTGTTTGTGCCACTTCGTCGTAGTTGAAACGATATTGCTCATATGACATCACATACATCTTCTCTCGCTGTTCACTTGTCTTCCTATCTTCACCGCCTATCTCTTCTGTTAACTTGTTAGTTTTCTCAGTGTCTGTTGATCTTCGAGTTTGTATGTCGTTAGAACGTAAATCGTCGCAGAATTCCAAAACATTGCGCTCTTCATAGTCTGTCGAATGATTCATCCAATTCACCGTAATCACGAATATCATTGTTGGTGATGAAGGTCAACCTTTCAGAAGGTTCGCTGAATTGTCCGTTATGGGTCACTTGATGTGTGGGCTTTTCATTTAGCTAGTGAATGAGGCTAATAATGACTTGGGGTGCTAAACGAGATGAAACAAGCTGATGAAGCAATAGTAACTTTTTTTCGTCCGTTTACTTCGTGGGTGGAATGTAAGGCGGCTTTAAGCTTCAGATTCATAGTTCTTGTAGCTGTGATGGTAGCACTGCCAATCTCACGCTTAGCTTTTCTGTTTACGGGAGTTACAGCTGGCTCAGCAAGGACTGAGAGTGTGTAAGCCATGTATCGAGCCTGGGACCACATGGACAGCTGGCAATTATTCTCCTAGTGAATCGCCATTGCATACAAGAAGTAATCAGTGAATAATCATCACAGTTGTGGTCGTTTTGAGGGCGAGTGAATAAATATCCCCCCTCCATTGAAGCGTCAAAATGTACTCCATATTATTGATAACAATTTACAACTACTTGTGAATGCAAGTACACACTTGTCTTGTTTCAAGTACTGTGGAATTCCATCACAAACTAAGAAGTCACTCAAAGAATCTTTGAGGACCAAAAGGGCACTGAGCAGCTGACTCATGAAATTTAGGAAGTTGATTGACTCAGATTAATGAACAAAGAATATTCTCTTCAGTAACTTGATCCTCTTCATTATAAATATTTTAATTATAATAAATATAAAATCTAATAAGGTCGGGAGGGTAGCAATTATGGATGACTAGACCTGTTTCTTTTGCACTCACACCTCCGGTTGATTTAAGCGAATTTTACTAACCTTTTCTGTCTGCAGTGTTCACCAAATAGAGGTCCTTGATAATTTATACAAACCCCGATAGATGATAGTGGAACAGTTGATGGTTTTAACGACACCTTTATTTAGGCTCACTGGTGGATGTTTCCAAGCATGAAAAAAAATAAAGATTTTAGAGCACCAGTCAAACTACCTGTCTCCACAGGAGCAGTTGAACTGGTCGATATAATTAGACATGGCTAGAATAGGTGCTTCGTCTTTCAGGTTTGGGATCACAACTGGTTGTTTGGAGAATATCAGCTCCAGTTTACAGGAATTAAACCTTCTTTCAATCGATTTTCTCAGCTTATCGGTTATTGATATTTCACTTGGATGTATATTACCTTTGAATTTCAGTCGTACATAGAGAGGCTTCTTGTTAACAACGATGCTGTTACTAACATTACTTCTTTAATTATTACAACCATATAAAACTGCAGAATCTTACGGGAGAAATTTCTGGCAAAGAATATTCTTTGTTGTTTGTGCATTTATGTTTATGCTGAAGATACAAAATAAAAAGATTTTTCATTTTCAAAAGACTGATTGCTGAAGAAAGAATATTCACATTACAGGATTTCATCATGAGCTGACATTAGTTAGAGAACCATTGGAAAACCTGGTAGTACTGGACAGCTGTTTCGTCCTAGTTCGGTACTCTTCATCAGTACGCACCCACCGGGATTCGAACCCAGGACCTTCTGGTTACAAGGCGAGCTCGTAGACCATTAAGCCACTAGGACCCGATCCAATGGCCCATGAATTCTAACTTCTGCCAATTCACGACATAGCGCGACCCCTAGCCAATGTCTTCGGCGAGTATTTGTCCTCACACCCGACCTGCTGCACCCTATTGATCACGACTTCTCCCTAGAACCCCAGGTAACTACCTACCTGAATAGGGCAAGTCGCTAGTGAGCACATTTTTGATGATTTCATCATCAGGTTCTACAGTTATGTATGCATCCATCGATAATAGCGAATGAATTAGGCTTATTAACAACATTAATGGTGTTGAAATAACATCGAATCAATAATCTTAATAATAACACCAGTGGATTACAGTTCGACAGCACCAACATAACAATAAACTAAATGTCAGAAAAATTAGGAGAAATAACAAAAATACAAATTCATAAATTTATAGTCTCCACTGAAGGCCAGCCAGGGTAGCAGTAGTGGCTAGTTGAAATTGTTTCTTCTGCAAACAAAGAACCGGTTGTTTCACAAGAATCGCGATAGCCCCTGCTTTTTGGAGTATGTGGTACCTGGATCCTTTCGGCACTTTATTTGGTATCCGATAGATGATGATGGAGAAGGATTCTTCAGTGCCAACTTTATGGTCGGTTTGAACCAGGTGGTCTAATATTGAACTGTTGATGGGTTTTACTAAACCTTTACTCAGCCACACGAAAAATCAAGTTCCTAGAGCAACGGCCAACATAACTCGCTCCACAAGCGCAGTTGGATTGGGAGATACAATTAGAAGTGGCTAGTCTAGGTACTTCATCTTCCGATTGAGGAATCACCACCGGTCGGTTTCGTAGAAAATAAGACTTGTAGTTTGCCAGCATTAAAAGCTTTTTGAATATATCTCGAATTATCAGTAGTTATTTCACTGAATATATCGCCCTTGAATCGCAGTCGTGTGTGTAAAGTCTTTTTGTTTACAGATAGATAATAGTCCTTCCCAACTTTATTAGTGATATGCTCCTTGATGAATTTGTCTAGATAGCTATTTTCAATCGAGGTATCATATGGAATTCTTATTTCATCTTCATTTACCCTTTTTGAGTATATAGCTCTAAAACATAAGGCTGAGTGAGGGTCCTTATTAAAATCTCCTTTGTACTAGAGAGGAACGAAGCTTTAGAAATGTGTATATATTGTCTTATCCATGTGCTTTTCTAATATGTAAATTTCTCCTTATACTAACGTCTGGTTTTCTTGTACGAAGGACATCATGGAAGGCAATTAATTCTTACTTTAGGATTCCTCTTCGCACATGAAACTGATAGGGTAGTGTACTTCATTAAATTGAGTGATTATTGTGTTCCTGTCCAAATCATTATCACAAAGAATAAAGGTGTCATCCATATACTGAAAATAAATCGAGAATTTTGTGATGATGTTGTTGAAAGGACTATTTTCTAGTTTACTTAGAAAAAAACCTGCCAAAATGGGAGCCAAAGGTTGGCCCATCGCCATCCCGTCCACTTGTCTCTAAAATGTCCCATGAAATTTCAAATTTACATTCATGGTGTACACCTTATTAACAATTTTTTATTGATTTCCGTTGAGATGCCGATATTTATCGACTTGTTGTACACTTGTTCACATATATAGTTAACCGTTTCCATTTCTGTTGTGTTTTTTGCACTACGAGCCAATAACCATTGGAGAATGGAATCAAACAACAAATTTACATCAATGTAAATATTCATGGATTCGACAATATGAATTCATTTATATGCAAAATTCGTGTAATGCTCCACTGGAATTTCTATATGTTGGTTTATCAAGTTTCTGTCTTGTTACAATGAATATTCTGCTCATCCTGATAACTGGATATACAGTGAATAAGGTAAGAAAACAACTGAGATGTATATATTCAACACACTTTTTATTATTGATGAATACTCCTCGACCAGGCGTGCCACTAAAAATGAAATGGAAATAAAAGTAGTTCAACAATGAGGCATTTATATACAACTTTTTCATTCACTAAAGAGGGCAGCTACATAAAAAGTGATGAGTTTTCATAATCTCACTTGTTAGCTAATGTCCGTCAATGCATAAGAGAGGTTAAATGATTCCATTGTGGAAAACAAATTTATTTTGATAAAGTCTCATTGTGTTTGATATATACAGTAATATTTACTGATAATGATGACCACAGGCTTCGAGCACAATTCATTATTGCTGCCCATCGTCATCATATCAGGGCACTAAGCACACAAATTTCCAACTTCGTTTATATTCTTCCACTATTTGTCATCTCTTGGTTTCATTGACAGTAATAATTTCCATATTTCTGTTATTAGTGATGATGAATCATTCCTATTGTATGTGTTGGGTGTGTAGACTCGATTCAGTCATCTCAACCGTTCGTTATCTGTCTGTGAAAGCAGACTTAGTTAAGTGTCTAAGAAACCGAGCAACAACATTACTAAGTGGTATATTAAAAAACCTGCGCGAAAGTGGCATAGTGGTTAGGACGCTCGCCGACCATGCACATGGTCCGGGGTTCGATCCCCGGCCGACGCACTCCTTTACCTCGCTAACCCAGAAATAAGGCTGGTGAAGAGGAAAGGTTGGGCATGAGGCTAGCAACCCCATCCTGTAAAATAAGCACTGCTACAGAAACTTCAAGCCACTAGCTTGAAGCCCTATGTTCCACTGAGGAACGTGAAGGAAATAAGAAAAAAAATATTAAAAAACCTAAATGATGGAATGAAACAGATAGGAGAATGGCTGGTCGGTGTTGAATAACTAACTATCCTACAAAATTCATTAGGAAGATCAGAAAAGGTCAAAAGCAAAATAAAAATAATGATGAGACTAATAACCATAATAACATAAATGAGAAAGAATATAAGACATGTACAGTAGTTTTGCCGTACAAGCAGGTAGGGGACATCTGAGACCCTCCCAACGTAGGATTCTTAATAAAGCCAGAATTACACTGGTGGTATTCAAACCTAAAACTCACTCAGGGACAAACTCTGTAGGTTGAAGGACTTTGTAGGTTGATGCAATTGAACAAAATAATATAATTTACTAAATACTTTGCAATGACTGTGAGTAGTGCCAACCATATAGGTTAAACTAGTAGATCAGGCAGGAGTAGTGAGATTGCCTGTCAGAACATAGGAATTCAGCTGCGGTTAGAATGATTGATCCCAACGAAGATAAGTAATTTAGAAAAAAACTTAGCGATTACAGTGGATGCATTAACACACAACAACACAATAGGGTAAGCAAAATAGGTTGATGGAGATAGAGGGAGATTCATTACTGAATCCTGGTTCATCGAGTCTACACACCCAACACATACAATAGGAATGATTCATCATCACTAATAACAGAAATGTGGAAATTATTACTGTCAATGAAACCAAGAGATGACAAACAGTGGAAGAATATAAACGAAGTTGGAAATTTGTGTGCTTAGTGCCCTGATATGATGACGATGGGCAGCAATAATGAATTGTGCTCGAAGCCTGTGGTCATCATTATCAGTAAATATTACTGTATATATCAAACACAATGAGACTTTATCAAAATAAATTTGTTTTCCACAATGGAATTATAATCTATCACAGTGCACAAGTTCTCTTCTTATATTAAGAAGTTGAATAATACTATCCTGCATGGCTGTGGAAGGGTATTAGTGGCTCTAAAAGGAGTACGATAACTGAACACCTTATCAACACACTGGTGACTTCATTTCAGCAAAAGTCTCCTTCATTGTAATCTACAAAGTTAGTAATAACCTGCCAAAGGCAATACGCTTCGTGTACTTAGTCTTTTCTTGAAGCCTTAGCCATTAAGATGGAGAAACTGGAGCTAGGCATACAAAAGAAAATTATTCAACAACTTCTACTATCATGGTAACAACCTTGTTCGTTTCTGCTGACTTCATTTTTGTTTGTCTTTTCAACTCCTTATAACTTGAGTATTCCTCTAGAACTCCGCATTCCTGATTACAGCTTATTCATCCATTAAATTATGCATCTCATTAAGTAACTTGCATTCACTTATTCAATTCCTTTAATGTATTGACTAATACTAATGGATATTAATGTGACAGACAACTCATCACATTTGCTAAAACACTCCTTCATGGGAAAAACTGTATATAAATGCGATTATATAACTGAATAGGGAAGTAAATTCTCCAAAGACAGCCTTCACGCTGAACTGCTTGTTTTGTTTGCATATTATAATACTATTATTATTCCCTTGGGTTCCGAGTGGAACATGTACAACTTCAACAACACATCACCACTTTCTTCTATTTTCTTCTGCCCTATTCAGCTGGTTCACCTCACGATTGCTCATAATCTCTCATTTCATACTCCCTCCAACTCACACCATCTCCTCCATGTCACCCTCACACCAACGATCCACTCGTCACAACCCATTCACCTTCTACTCGAGCGATGGCTTGCATTGAGCACGATGTCATTTGACGACCTCTTTAATGTATGCCCAATCAGTCCATCTCCATTTTCTTCCACAAATTTCTTGCGCAAAAGGTTCTTGATTGATTTCTTCTTACAGTTCCCTTTCGCGAGTTCTTTCCATCAGCCATTTGATCCTCAATATAGGGCTAGCGAAGAGAGGGGTAGCTGCTGACAAACCAATAGCCTGTTCAAATTGATTTCTCTAGCGCATACCCCAAGTTTCTGACCCACACAGAGGTACTAACCGACCTAAGACAGGTGATGAAAATCCGAATCTTGTTCTTTATGCTAAGTGCAAGAGATATCTCAAGTGGTTTCAGAGTGATGGAGCTCTGTCTTGCCTTTCCAATCCTCCCTGATTTCGACATCCACACGCATGGCACGTGGTTGTAGCTGGAACGATGCTGTCTACATACATGAAGGAAGTAACGTTTTTCAAATCTATTCCATTAATGGTGACTGATGCTTGTTGTTGTTGGTTGGTCGTCTTCATAACCTCCATCTTCTTTATATTCACTTGAATTCCCATCATCGCTGCTGATTCTGTCCACTTGTTGGTTTCCGCCTGTAAGTCTTCTAATTTATGTGACACTATAGGCAGACATCATCCACAAAGTTCTAACCCTCTGATGTCTTCTTATCGGCCCAACATATTCATATCTCCTCACTCCCCACAGTCTTCCACACAAATCAGTCCGACACATTTAGGAATATCATTGTTGTTGACAGTAGGCAGTCTTCTCTGCCTCTCGTTTTCACCTGAAATGTTTCTCTGAGTTTTCCACTTTGGATCGCTTGATATATGGCACAATCATCATGGAGATGTTGAATAGGCTTCATAAAGAATCCTACTGAATAGTAACCCTTAGAGTTGACAGTTATTTCCATAATTCGAGCTTAAAAATATGATTGTGATGTCGATGGTTTACAGTAGACATCTCAGACATATAGAAAACCTTCCACAGGCTAATTAGTCCGTAATGATCAACTACTTCATTTGATTTAGTGTGTTCTGACTTCATTCTAAAGTAGCTTGTTAATTGGGTAGGGATGTTGGGATATATATTCTATCTGCTATTACCTATGACAACATTTTCCTTCTTTGATTCGTTGACTGTTGGTGTGCAAGGCTGTTATGAGTGAGTGGGACAGTTGTTTACGAAAACCAGAGTTGCATCAACCTCTTAACTGTAGGTTCAACCATAATGAACACTGGCAGTACCTAGAAGTTAGCAAAAGAATGCTGGATAATAATAATAATTCCAGTTATAGTTTACTCTTTCTTTACTGATGTAAAAGTAGGCTTATAACTTCTTCACCGACATTTGTCTCTTCCTTCACACAAAACTGACGCTAAATATGGTGTAGTTGAATTTTTTTTATTTAGTCGCCTTACGAGAGTAAATTCTTATGAAATTTCTTCTGGTTTCACCTGAAGATATACTAAATGAAAGTTGAGAATAAGCAGCGAGGATGTTCGGTATCAGACAAGATGAATTTAGCTAACTACTTGCAAGAATTAAAGTGCCTATTTGACAATAATTTCAGTCAGTAATTCAATCAAAAGTACACACACAACTAACCCTGCCTGCTTACAGCCTTCAGTGTTCTACGTAATATGATGTAGTTTATTTCTGAGAAGCCCAGGAAAAAATAAGGGGAAACCATAAAGAAGAATGGGCAGAATATGTGAATGAATAAATTGTAAGAGAAGAGGTTGAGTTATGCCAGCAGGAAGTCTCAGCTTATTTAAATAATAATAAGGGACGGCGTGGTAGATCAATAAAACGATTTATTTATAGAAAACCTATTTGGACAGGACAATATCTTAATAGCCACAGTTTGTGCCCTACTCGATACAAAAGAGCTTTAGTAAGGTTCCTCTTCAGTAGAATCCAACGAATATGCACTGAAAACACACTTGATGAGGAAGAAAGAAAGTTGACACAAACTCTGATTGATAATAATTAATAAGACAAGTTCATTAGGAGATAAAAGTGGTCAGAACACCAAGACCCACTCTCCAACTGCCCAATAAGAAAGACGTATACGTCAAGGTAGCCTATATGGGTTATCATAACAGCTTGACAACTAGACAAACATTGAACAGTGTGGTTGAAAAAACTTCGTATACAGCTAAGATCATAATAATTGAGAATGTGAAGGTGATATATCCACCTAAGCTCTTAGAACATGAGAAAAATGATGTCACACTCCACAGTATTTACCAGTTTGAATGTAAGTGTGACCACACACATGCATTCACATGCATGGATGACTCATCGACATCTGCAAGTAAGGGATGGTTTCAGAGCATATTCCTAAATGGCTACAGAAGCAAATAGAATCCCCAGAACCCATTAATTAATGGTGAGAACAGATGACGACCTAGTTGTTCTATTGTGAAACATATTACAGAGGAGACAGGACATAAAATTGATGTTTACATATCTTTTAAACCTATCTGTAGAACATGTTTGGGGGAGGGCGTATCCTACAATTTGTGGAAGCTAGTCCTAGCTAGTAATTAGGAAGTTTAAACGACCTTTATGCGTTCAAAGCAACAATTCGTCATCACACTAAACCTACCTTCCTTGGTAAACTTTGTCTTGATACCAGCCAGGGTAGATGTACTATTACCTCGCTTCTTTGGTTTAGAGATGTTCATTGTTATTTTGACCAATATGTCATTTCAACTTGACCTATTTCTCACCTCTTAACTCTTAATTAATTCCATATGTATTCTTTTGATAAGTGTGTGTGTGATCAGACTGTTCGAAACGCATTGCGCAAATACATTACACGATTCAGACAAATAACGTCTTCTTATTGCTTTGTCTAAATAAGGGAAACGAAAAGATATGAGATGACAAACTGAGATGTGAAGGGGAATTATCGCCAAGATAGATGTTCAATTTTCCTATCTATCACAGTGCCGTCGATATTACATAAATTACGGGACTGAATTGGTATTCACGTAGGTCTTGTTCACATTTGAAACTAAAACCAGTTGTATGACGTGTAGGTAGGTCTCGTTTAAGAATATTTCACTGGGACAAAATGTTAACCTCAGATAAGAAACTAACTATGCGTTGCATTATATCAGAACAATAGAACACAATAATAATTATATGCTTTATTCCAATTTAGTACGTTTGATACTGTGTGGAATTCTCAGCGTTTGGCACAACATTCCATCTAATTTGCTCGACAACGATGAAACAAAATAATGTATATGACAGGGTATAGGCAACTAAAATTGATAATAGCAGCTGTTTGGAGTTAGCAGTGGCAACAAGTGACGAGTTAAAAATGTTAATGGCTAAAATGATAAGATAAATGAAAAAATGTCAGCATAGATTACAAACAGGAGAGGAAAAAAGCGAAAATTATTTTCCCCTTAAACACTTTCCCTATCATACAGAAGGCGGCCAGGCCAGATAGGATGTCGCTGAGTTGTTTTACTTCGTTGTGCGAGTGAGCAAACGATCTTCTATAATGACTTCTAGTTCAACCTGATGAGATGTAAGATGTGGGGGGGGCAGAGTCTTGAATAAAGAGGGTGCTGAGAATCAGACAATATGGATTTAGACCATTTCTCACATGAATTGGTCAAATGTCCGTCAACTACAATAGTGACCAGCTGACTTAGTGATCACACACTACTTCCCCTACTGACGACTAATAATGCCCTTTGAAAAATAAGGGAGACGAAAAATTTCCTTAGAAATCAACAAGATATGAGATGTAATAATGGACTCAACCCTAACTGACCTCAATGACTCAAGGACTGACTTGTTACCACAAGGGAATAATCTTGTTGACTTAGAGCATTCAGAAGATATAGTCCTCCCTCCTAGGTGAAGAAGCTTACAAAATACAATAGAGTCTTCCGAACACCTTGATACTGATCAGCAATCTTTGAATGTTTGGCATGCGATTCGCTTATACCGTCAAATGTAAGGTGATGGATGTTACATGACTGGACTACATCGATTACTCCTAGCTTAAAGATAGGCAGGCAGGAGTGAAACAGTGACTAACTAGTTAGTTGAGCGCATTGACCACTTCACTTATTTGAGAATTCGCATCAGCCAACGCTTGCACGTTGATTTCATGGCTGACGAAATCTCACCACGGATGTAGAAGACTCGTTGGGCACTTTTCAGCCAAATTACACCATTTCTGGCCTAGTAGACGTGATATCTGACCGGGTGGCTATCGACCAAAGGGCGTGTATACTGATCAACAGCAGTTCATTTCATCCTCCTTTATGGCCGTCTGGCTGACTGTGACAGAGGCTGAAAGCGGAAGACATGAAAAACCTTCCTAGCTAGCTGTCTTTGATCACAGGTGTCTGCGTTCTATCTCGCATGTTAGGTTTTATAATAGGGTGAGCAATACTGAGGTGAGGCATCAGTAGGTCGAGTGCTGGGTAAGGAAAGAGGAGTGTAAATCATTCGATAGTGAGGTTGTGAATCAGTTACATAGATTGAGAGAGATGGTTAGGATATGTGTTACACATGCATCCTTAGCCATCACCTTCCTTGACTGATAGGTGATGTTAGCTGACTGACATAGGATGGATCAGGTTGGAAAAGAGTCAGCTAGTGGTGGTGGTGGTCCGACCAAAACATGGCTTCATCACTCAATGAAATCCACAACAGTTAACTGAAGCCAACCAGCCATCCACGTAAGGAGGTGTAGACTAGCTGACTGTCTGGTGTGGTTCTCGGGGTGGTGGTGAGAACCAATGAAGATTGGAGACAACAGGTGATATGGCTTAAAATCGTTCTCAGTGGTGGCTGGCACAGATGCATTCACTCTTTGTCACTCATCATATCTAATAAAACTCCACTGCATTTCTATATTACTATTCTTTTTCCCTCACTCACACTTCTGTTCATTATCTCTCTCTCTCTCATTTGAATCTCTCTTTACTCTCTTCTCCTGCTTTGTGTGTTACATAAAAGAAGGGTGGCAACTGGAACTGCTGCACATCTATGCAAAGATCTAAGTTGAACCAGTCAGCTAGTTAGTAAGTCTACACAAGTTTTACTTACGTCTGAAACTAAAATCAACAGTAAGACCTTAAGGAGGATTGAATTTAAGACCATTTGTTAACTTCAGAAAAGAAACTCTTCATTATATCAGGACAATCTAATACAGAAACGACTAGGACAGAGTATGATAAGATCTTCAGGAAATTCAATGAAATTGGCTTAAGAAGAATACGGTAAGTCAAGCAAAAAAGAAAGAAAGAAAGTAGAGTCAACCTCCATGAGGCACACCAGTTATTCAGAGGGAGATAAGAATATGACCAATATATTAGTCATTATTAAATCTCAGAAAACGCGACTACCGGTCATCAGTTAACTATCCTGCCTGATATTTTCTACTTTTTGCAGAGATATTATCACCAACTCTTTGTTCATATGTTTGTTTGTTTGTTTGTGTTTTTCTCATCTGTCTTACTGAAAGGTATTCATAACTGGGTTTTTTTGTTTTGCCTTATTTTTCTTTCAGATAAAAAATTTAGTGCCTCTTTCATTTACAAATGAAATCACCAGAAGATTTTACCAAAAGGATTTACGAGCAAGTAAAATTGTGTTGTGTTCAATCATACAAATATCCTTTAGTCTGTTTGTTTGCTTGTTTCTTTGTTTGTATAACTTTTGGTGAGTGTCAAGTGTGTATGTGTACACACACCTTGAAGTTGCCGCTTTCAACCAAAATCAGCTCATCATGAAATCCTGATACCAATCAAATCCCTTAAAACCAACACTTGAATATCAATCAACTGCCCACTAGCGACTGTTCCCCTATTCAGGTAGGTAGTTACTTGGGGTTCTAGTGAGAAGTCGTCACCAGTGGGGTACAGCAAGTTGGGTATGAGGATAAATACTCTTCAGCGATGACACTGGCTGATACCAGTCGCCCTATATCCTGGGTGAGTTGTCAGAAGTTGAAATTCATGGGCTGGCCATTGGGTTGGCGGCTCCCAGTGGCTGAATGGTCTACGAACTCACTCGCCTTGAAACCGTAAGGTCGTGAATTCTATCCCCATTGGGGTGGGTGCGTGCTGTTGAAGAGCCCCAAACTAGGGCAACAGAGGCAGCTGTTCAGTACTCTCAGTTGGTTTTCCAATGGTTCTCTAACCAATGTCAACTCATGATAAAATCCTGAAATTTTTGATTCTTTCTATGTTCTTTTAACAATAGATGACTCATTTGATAAATAACTATATTTGTTAACCCATAACTAACTAAACTTATTGATTATTCTTATCATGGGATTTTATACACTTCCATTGTTTTTACTAAATAATCAATCGTAGTTGATAAGATTGTCATTTCATGGTATACGTAAGGAAGATAGAACAAATAGTAACTCACTGTTTCTGATTCTCAAGTGTTAGTTTGCAGGGATTTGATTGGCTACAGGATTTCATCAAGAAGTGGCATCGGTTAGAGATACGCTGGAAATCCTGAGAGTACTGATTAATTGTTTCGTCAGCTTAGTTTGAGACTGGCCCTTCAACAGCACGCACTCACCTCGAGGACTCGAAGCCAGGACCTTCTGATTACAAGGCGTGCTTGTAGACCCCTAAGCCACTGGAACCCGGTCTACTGACCAGTGAATTTCAACTCCTACCAACTTCGTGATGTATATTTAGCATAACCTTCAGCCAATGTCATGGGCAAGCAACTGTCATCTTGCCTGACTTGATGGACGGCACTGGCTACGAATCTTCGCTAGAACTCTAGGTAACTTCATGTTGTATAGAGCCAGTTGCCAGTGTGTATCAGAACAATTATCAAGTGTTTTCTGTGCAAGGCCCCAGTAGCTGAACAGTAGACGAATTCATCTTGTAACCGGAAGGTCATGGGTCCGAACCCCGGTAGGTACATATAGCTGCAGAGTGTCGAACTAGAACAACCGTAGCAGCCATCCAACACTCCTTGGTTTTCCAATGTTTTCGAAATGATGTCAACTCGTGATCATACTTGAAACAAATCACAGTATAAAAGTTTTAGGAAACGTGAAAAATAATCAAATAGTGTTGTGGCATGTGCTACTGATAAGATTTATCAATAGTATATAGTGAGAAGTTCATCAGGATGAAAACATCCAATAGCCGGGAGGAGATAGGTCTGATGTCAGAGAAAGCAAATGATTCAGCGTTACGAAGAAACATGGGAGACGTGAAAGGAACACAAAGAAACAAAATACAAAGAGGGACAGATGTAACGCTACACGGAGGATCTGTGCCAATGGTGATTTAAAGATAAGGTGTACACATAATTTCGCTTTATATAAGTACCAAGACTTTGCAAAATGCACAGATGAAAAACGAACTAAACTGACGTCTGAAGTGTGGATCTTCATGAAGATAACATTTAATACGCTTCGGCAGAAAAAACTAACATCAAAATATAAAGTACTTGGTGTTGGTGCTGAAGCAATTCTATCAGTCAAGTCTGACGGTGACCGTGAGCTCTGAATTGCTGTAGTTAGATGGTCTCAGGCAATCGGTGGCAAGCGTTGCCTCAACCACAGTTTCGTGATTGTTAGCATTCACCCCAATGTCCTGAAGGAACAATGCATGTTCCTTCTGAGATTCAAGTCCCCAACTCACCTAGTGATGCAGTCAGAGACGTCACCACTGAGCCATTAAAGCTTACGACTGGCCTCCTTTAAGACTGTGTTAGATACTATGATCAGTTACTAGGACTAGACACATCACATTAGTTACTTCTTAGTGGCGACATCTCCGATTGCAATACTGGATGACATGGGTACAAATCTCAGAATGGATATGAGTTGTTCCTTGGAGATCGTAGAAACGCCTTGGTGACTGGTGAGTGTCAACACACACGAAACCCAGGTCCAAGACTTTCAGTCGACGTTCTCCAAGCAGAGAGTATTTTTGAATAGTTTTTCCTTACTAATTTATAACCCCTCGGAAGTACACAACAACAACCTCACTGTGGAATCGGACCCTGGACCTTCAAGTTACGAGGTGAGCCATTCAGCCCCTAGGATGCAGTGATCCAATGACTCTGCAAATTCATTAATGCTCTCCATTGGTGTGTATTTATCCTTACACCCAGTGTGATATCATAGGTGGGTTCTCTTGAAGAGTCCCAAACTAGTACGAAATAACTGTTCAGAAATGTTCAGTATCCTTTATTCCACTGATATTCGCATAGGCTTGATGACACTGATAAATCCCCCAGTCGTTTAGACTAATATATACACTCACATTATATTATATGACATTGCCACATGTCACTTGATCCACAACGGAAAACTCAGAGTAACTTGCCTTTGAAGTGAATAAAGGATTTAGACAAGGCCGCCTATATTCACCAACGATGATATTCTTAATTGTGGTGGACTGGATTATGCGTCAGACTGTGAGTTGGGAGTGACTGAGAACACAGGAATACGCCGCACTGACCGATTAGAAGACTCTAGAAGATCTGGATTTCGCGTGTGGATGATATATGTCATCGAATGTTACACAAACTCGAAGACCTAGAGGCAGGCAAGAACAGACAAACTGGCTGAAGAGGATGGCTGGCAGCGAGGAACGGTGGACTCCAGGTAGAGGTAGATAAGACAGAGACGGAGGTAATGAAGATAACCAGCTGACCACCACCAACAACAACCAGCAGCAATCACCATCAACGGGATAAAGAGACTTGACAGAGGCTACTTCCTGCCTTCACTTATCTACGCTGCAGCATCGTTTCAACCACAGGCAGTCGGGATGGATGAAGATGTCAAAGCCAACCAGCCAGAATCGTCAAGGAGAGATACGCCTCCATCAACCTGAAATCAGTTTGGAAGCCTCCTGCACTCCACCTCAGCATAAACAGCAACATTCGGATTTTCAACACAAATGTCAGTGGAGTCAGTCAGTTAGTGCTTTTATATGGGTCAGAAATTTGTGATGCGTATTATGAGAAGTACTTCCAACAGTTCACCGCAGACTTTTATCAACATCTACCCCCTTCGCTGGCTAACTCCATACTGAAGATCAAACAGCCAGTCAGCCATCCTGCCGGCGGCCATAAGGAATTACCAACAAGAAACTCTGGCAATGAACGAACCAACCAAGAGCCGATTGCTCAACAAATATGTAGGAGAAAATGGAGATGGATCGGGCATAGGCTGAGGATGGAGGCAGTCGAGTGACATCACACGCAATGCAGGCCATCACTCGAGTGGAAGGTGAATGGGAAGCGACAAGTGGGTGGTCGGTACGAGGGTGATATGGAGGAGATGGTGTAAGGTGGAGGGAGGAGCAGATGAGACATTATGGGCAGTCGTGGGGTCAGTCTGCTGAACAGGACAGAAGGAAGTGGAGATGTGTTGTTGAAGCTATTTATGTACCACTCGGAGCCCAAGGGAATAATGATTATAATAATAATACCCAATACTTAGATTTTATTAGTCTATAGAAAACATTTATATAGCCTAGTGACAGTTAAAATCGTTAATTTTTCAGTCTGTTACCCGATTTTTATAAGCACAGATCAAATTCCTCTGGGTAAAAGGATTGAAATATTTTATCAGAAAATAAATTTAAACATTTTCGATAAAAAAAGTAACTGAAGGGTGAACTTTATAGGCGAGAGTGAGAGATAGAGACAGAGAAAGAAAGTAAATCGATAAGATTTTTCACTTGACAGACAAATCAGCTTGTAAAACCAGCTGGATATATGTATGATTTTCAGGTCATCCTTAAGTCTTGTTTGTAGGTATTTAGTATAACAGAAAAGTATGCTATGAATAAGAGGAAGAAAGAAAGAAAGAAAGATGGAAGGAGGGGATGAGACAGCATCGTAATACACGACGCACAGATGGATTTATGAAAAAATAAAATCAGTCGCTATGCCTACATTAAATACATTGAATATATACAGCCAGGTTGAACCAAATGAAGACTATAAAAGACAATGTTTAGTTAAGGAAATGCTTCTTTGTCGACGAAATTATCTTCACAGGCTGGCTCTAAGGTCGTATTTATATTTGCCGAAAATGTGTAGAAGTCCATTATTGGGTAGTGGGGTGGGGTGGCGCGGGGTAGGAATGGTCAATAGACGAATTTTCATAGTTGAGTCCCTGTGAGAAGAAAGAGAAATCTGATACACTCCTTATCCTCAAGAATAAGAAGGATATGCGCCTGCCAGTGACACAGTCGATGGCGAACTGGAGAAAGACTCAGACAAATCCTGATGGAAAATGGATATCCTTAAAGATTTGTCGAGACAAACATGAAAGTAAAGCAAAAACCCAAAGAAACTGATATTCATGAATGTTGAATATTGAGGTGATATCGAGGCTGAGATTCTAAAGAACCGCTGCTTATCCAGATCACTGAGAAAAGTCTTCTTTTCGGCTGAACTACGGATCGCTTTTTACAGCCAACCAATGATCAATGGATGTGTGAAGTATAAACTACCGCTTCAGACGGCCCACTTCAATGTGTGTTTATAAATTCACCTGCTCCTGTGGACCTAGTTATACTAGCCGTACAACTTAGTGCACGCTTCCCAAACGCATCTCTGAACATTAATCTGGCATGGTTAGCAAAAGGACAATGCAAGACAGTTGGTTACTAGCTCAATTCTCAAGCACTTGGTGAACTCAAACCACGCAGCTCCACCAGAGTCCTCTCTCAAGATCATCTACAGGGTGGGGCCGAATAGTACAAAGGGCATCGGGTTTCAGCCTCTGTGTATGGCGGAGACGTTGGCAATTTGTCCAGTCTCTTATTCTAACATGGTCTTAACCTCTTCATTAGTCATTCCTTGCAAATTTTTTATTTTAATTTTAAATGGTTAGTTTTCTTTTACTTTTATCAATTCACTATTATCACTCTCACATGTTCCTTGTGGACATTTTCTCTCTCCCTCTTCACACTTGTTAAATGGACACTCAACTACCACCTTTATTCTCATTCAGTATCAATTTTAAGCTTATCAAATTGCTAACGCTTTCTTCCTTTGTGCCATTGTTGAGTACTACATAATTTGCAACTTTTATTTTTAATTTTAAAGCTACTTCTGAGTAATTATATCACTTATGTCATCCCGCACTCCAACTATTACTCAATAATAGACTACTATACATTTTCGGCAAATATAAATACGACTGTAGAGCCAGCCTGTGAAGATGATTTCGTCGATAAAGAAGCATTTTCTTCACTGGATTGTCTTTCACTTTTTCTTCATGACTCAACGGGTATTTTTGGTGATTTGGAAAATGAAGACCATTCATCAAAAGTGTTTTTGCTTCAAGTGGACAAATTATGCTGTCATTATCGATTTTCCTTCTAACTTCAGTCGTAAGTTAGATTTTCGTCAAGAGCAATCATTGCGAAACCAGTAGACAGCACTGGACCACTGCTTCTGTCGTCCTATTTCGGGACTCGTCAGTAGTGTTCACCCATGAATCCGGCTGGAGGGAGAAAATTCAGGATCTTCAGGTTGCGACACCTAGCTCATTGAGCATTGGAGTTCAGTTACCAATGAACTCTAACTTTTCCACCTCGCGGTATAACGCTACCTTCGTAAATGACTTTGTTAAGCATTCACTTCACCTTGACATTGGTAGACCCCAGTGGTCACGACTCCTCACTGCAGACAGAGATTCAGAACATTCATTCAATAGCCATCAATGAATTGGAGATTGACGTTCAGATTATAGGATTTGTTTGCTTATTGGATTAATTTCAGCTGTTAGAATTTTCCCCATGAACCAATTGTGTACGGTAGTTTGTGTATAGACGTGTGAAAACACTACGAGTGTAGCGCATTATGTGGGGGTTGTTTGCCATGAATTCTGATCCAAAATTTCGAGCCATTTCACCAGCTGTCTGTCTGAAGCCACTGGTTATTCTTAGAATTCCAAGGACTCCAACCAGACAGTAAATCTAGACTTCCCTACTTGGCTGGCTGGATCAAACTAACTGCTAAAGTTTTAGTCGACCGATTCCATGTACTGATTAGACTACTACTAGTTCATTTTCCAACCTGATCGATGCTATACCAGCCAGCTAACAGCGCCCGTGGAGAAAGGAGATGGTCAGTTATGCGTATCACATGTCTTAACAATCTTAATCGATTCACCTTCCCTCCTTACCTAATATTCGACGCCTAATCTTAATATTGATCACCTTATTATACCACCTAAAACAGGAGACAGAACGCAGACTCCTATAATCATCTTTTCATATCTTCCACTTTTAGTGGCCATGTCTCACAGTCAGCCAGACAGCCATAAAGTAGGACGGAGCGAACTACTAATGAGCGGTACACACGCCTTTTGGTCAACTGCCAGCCGGCTATCACGTTTACTAAGCCAGAGATGTCGTAAGTTGGCTAAAAAAATGCCAAACAGGTCTTCTGTATCCGTGTTGAGATTTCGTCGGCGATCAATCCGCTGGAGTTGGCTGGGCTGATACAACTTCCCAAATAAGTAAAGTAGTGGTTAACACGCTCAGAGAGCCTCCACTCACCTTCTGCCTATCTTTAGGCTACAAGTAGTCGATGTAGTCCAGTCAGTCCTGTAGTATCACCTTACAAACAACAGGTGGAAATCGCATCCCTGGTTGGTAGTCAAAAGAATAAACCAGTGATTGACCAAATTTACCAACTAATAAAAAGTAAATCACATGACAAGAAAGTTCGAATTCTAAGTCAATAAAAGTGATTAATAAAGATATAAATTAATGGACAATAATGACAAAGGTTGTCTGTCAAGGGACATTCAAGCACATCATCATTTATGGAGGGAAAATTCAAATAAGTTCATTTTATACCAAAACCTGCTTTGAAGGGAGATGTTGTCTATCAGGGGGACGACGAAAGCTTCACAATCAAATCATCAACCAGCTGAGAGAACACACTTAATTAAAAGTCGTCTACCTGAGGTACAAATATTCGCCATCAGTGTCAGTACATCTGTGATGAAATTAAACGTGTTTGGAAGCAGTGGACCCTCCCGAAAGACACCACTTAGTATTATTTAAAAAAAGTAAATCAACTTATGTGCTAAATATAGCTCTGCACAGATCTTCCGTGTTGTGCCTGCTACTTCTGTCCCTCCTTCGTATTGTATTTCTTTATGTTCCTTTCACGTCTCCCATGTTTCTCCGTAACGCCGAATCATTTGCTTTCTTTGACGCCAAATCTATTTCCCTGTTATTTGATGCTTTTTGTGCCAATGAACGTCTCCCTATATACTACTGATAAATCTCATCAGTAGCACGCGCCGCAAAATGACACTGAGCACTTGATTTCCAGCCTATGGATCCTGCATTCGAGTCTCTCTCCACAGACTTCAACAACTTGATTTAAATATCTAGTAATACCACCAAGGAGGATATATATTCAAACGCTGCCAGTGATAAACAAATCTGTCTTGAGTCAACTGAACAACTGTTGTCCGGTAATATTTAATCTCTCTTTCAGACTCCCTATTTTATTTTCTGATTGGATAACAGTGACTTTAGATTGTATTAGTAGTAATAATAATAATAAATAACCTTGAAAGTCAAAAAAATATGAAAAGAAATACACCAGTCCATATTTTTTTTTTGATTTACAGCTTGATTTCCACACCGTATTTTCAGTACAAGTGTGGAACTTTCAGCATGGATATCGGTTGCCCAAATTCAGGCATACCATAGATATCGGGTGTGCGCCGGCAGGGGTTCGAACCCCGGACCATGTGCATGGTCGGCGAGAGTCCTAACCACTGTGCCACCGACGCACACCATATACGATGATATCCACATGTTGGAAATGTAAATATCTGGGTCAAATAATATAATAGCTTGTACACACAAACATAGAGACACACTTGACCATCAACTAGGTCAGAATTATTTTTAATTGAATCGATACAAAGCAACGGTAACACATCAAAAACATAAAAAAACTTATTCTTGTACTTCTTCTTCAAATATTTTTTTTCCTAACAAAAACAGGAAGTTCGCGAGAATTATAAATGTTTACACAAATTTGATGCATCTGATTTAGCCACTTATGCATACAATGAATACCTTCGTTTGAATAAAATAAATTCACAAGACGGTGAATTAACTAATTTGGATAGTGAGAATGCAGAACAGATTGTTAATGAATTTCATACAATTATGAAGGTAAGTCACGTGAATTGTATATTTATTGGTTCTGTTGGAGGAAGCTGGCCACTGGAAACTTTGACTAGACCTCCTAGGTTTTGTACTTGTTGGCATTCACCAGTGAGCAAGACGTATCTCCAGTGCCTTGAAAGAATAACTCATGCGCCTTTTGAGATTCAAACCCCCAGGTTACTGAATGCTGCATCAAGACACTTCACCAGTGAGCTATTTGTGCTCGTGATTAACCTCCTGTAAGACTGTATTGGATATTTTTGATTGGACACTAGTTAGACAAATGACACTAGTTGCTAACTAATGTCCAATCAAAGCATCCAAAACAGTCAGTCCTACAGGAGGTCGATCGCGAGGTCTCTGACTCACTGCAGCAGCGTGCGACGCGGGTTCGAACCTGAGAAGGGAAATGAGTTCCTTCAATGTGGTTGCAGGTACACGTTGCCGACTGGTGAGTGCCAACAAGCATGAAACCGAGGTCCAGGCAAGACTTCTTGTGGCCGATTGACTTCAACTACTTAATATCAACAAACGGTCATCGATTGTTTGTCTGTCTATATATCAAATGGTTGAAGGACATCGGCATAAAGCTCTGCCTAGACCTTGGTACCTTGATTGTTGTCATTGACTAGTCTAGTAAAAGAAAAGACGTTCAGAGAAGAGTTACTTTTCTTTTCTGCGATATCATTCTCAAGCTGTACAAGCGTATATATATATCAATTCAACTGCACCTGCGGCGACAGTTATGTTGGGCACACCACTACTAGACAGCTTATCTGACGTGTCACTATTGAAAATCTCCCAACATGGTTTGGTAAAAGACAGACAAAAACAATCCGTTGTTCCAGTTTGTCACATGTGGTTGACAGTGGAAAAAACGAAAGCTTTCGAGGTAATCCATCGCATTCCACCGAATCTTTCTGAAAGACTTCGTATTCGCCTATTTTACACAACTGAAGCGATAGGCTTACAAACAATTAAGCCTAAACAATGTGCATCCAAAAGAAGTTAGTACAGCCATTATCCCTCCCTTGTTGGCCTATTAAGACCTAACCAACTGATGACTTCTCTACCACCCAACCTTACTTATATTTCCAACCTCTCTCTTATCATCCCTTAGTCTTATCACATCTTCATTAAAAACGTTTCTCATTTACTTCCCTTACAATCTAGCATTACTTAATCGGTCCATTTGTTTTTCTTAGCCTTTATCGACTACTATGTCTACCTGAACATTTGTTTGTTTAATCATGCTGTTTTTCATCAATATTCTTGTTATCACACATCGCCTCACTTTTTCATCCTTGTTACTGATAGAACCATTATTATCATTATTGTTATCATTACTACTATTATGACTATTTGCACAATTAATATGCACAATCTTATTATCTTATTGACAAAACCCCATGATTGGTTTATTTCGTGCTTACAACCGGCTATGCATCGGCCGGGCAAAATGAAACCCATGACCATGTGAATTGTTGGTGAGTATCCTTCTGTTAAGTCACCCATACACCAAAGTAGCAATGCTTTATGCTCTTTGATAACTGACTCTCTGACTACTTCACTCTAAGGCACACTCTTTTTATTTGCCTTTTTATTGTAGGATCTGAAGAAGGATCCCTATTTGCAAACTATTACTGCAGAAACTACTCAAGGTGACAATAGTTTTTTGGTAAGTTCAATCATTTCCACTGATTTAGATTTTTGCATATGGTGGTTGTTTTACTAGAATAATATAAATTCCTCAGAGTAGTCAGATTTCAGTAAATTAAAAATCCCCATAGTATTATCAAAACAAGATCAATTGCAGAGAACAGTTTGCTTTCGATGAATCTCTTCCTCAGGCTCTACACTTATTAATCCATGATTCCATTAGAAGACGAATAGCCATCATTAAAAACATGTGTGAAAATTGTATCAGAAACTGTCTGTATTGTACATGTCTGTACACGTATATAATACGGAGGGATAGTTCGTTAGTTAATATTGTCCAATTAAGGTATATAAAAATGTGCAGTCATTCAGAACAGAACATAAGATAAAGTGTGAATCTAGACAAATGGGAGATTTACTAATGTGTTTTTTATAGTCGACAGGATATAAGTTTCATTGGCGGGAGGGGGTGTGTGAGGAAAATGACTACCACAAAATGCATAGAAACAAATACCAACAACAAATGGGGAACACTGAATGTAAGTTCCAGTAAGGGTTGACAGATAACAAGTGTAGTGATAAAAGATAAGGCGGTTAGATTGCGAACTGTAATAAAATACTAGAGGCATAATAAACTATTTAGTGAAAATTACAAAAGGTCAAATTACATAATAAAGGTAATAATGGAGTAAAGTGAACTAGGTGAAAAGGAATAAGATTATTAGGACTCGCTCAGCAGGAAGCTGTAAACTTATGTTTCGAGGACTATCCCCCCAAAAAAGTTGTTTTGAGTTACAATTGACCTTCTGTCATACTAAACTGCGTAAACGAATTCGTGGCAGGTCAGTGTTTCACCACAGACTACCTAATTCACCCTAAAGTCAACGCTGAAGATGTTCAGAAGTACACTGGAAGTTTTGCATTGAAATTAGCCAGCTTAGAGAACACAGCGACACCGAAAACATCTACCTGTGCTAGAAATCTTCTTCACTAATATTGACTATTTATGATTCAGCTGTATATGAAAAGAGTCAGCAGTCTTCAACACTGTTGAAACAGGGGTCAGGAGATCCCTAGTATGTGATATACAGACCTAATTTTCTAGATGTACTTTTACGTGTGTCTGGTTGTATTTCTCTCACCCAACTTATGACCTTAGCAGTCCTAGTGGTTATTGACTGTTTTAATTTATCAATGTAATTAGTCCCTTCCAAGGTCATTTAACCCATATATATATATATATATATATATATATATATATGGTATCGTATCCTGTTGTTGTTTGTTGGTGGTTGGAACAATAGATTCGCGAATCTACTAGGTAGGAAATTCGTTAGCTCAAGATCCCAAGTGTATTAATGGTCATATCAAAGTTGGCGATGGGTGCATCTCAGTAGTATACCGTCTGAATGACCTAGAAGAATATGAATTTGGAAAAACAAAAGGCATGTCATGACATGATAATTTGTTTTTCTTTTTGGTGATAGGTAATACATACTCATAGAGGAAAAAGGAAATGTTAAATAATGGAATTAAAGAAAATAAATCAATGAAAATAGAAAGATAAAAGATCAATACCTTTGGTCAGATAAGAATAATTTATATTTACTGCCACCTGAAGACTACAAACAAACCATCTGTTCCCATGACAACATCGTTAATCACCTGTTAGATAGCATAAAGTTACTACTTTTAAAATGCAATTTGGAGACACAAAAAAGTCAGAAAACTTTTAATTACTTTGTGACAGTTAGTAGATAGCTATAGCACATAATATGCCTATATTATAGTACAAATCAAAAGCGAGTTTATCAACTGTTAAGTTAATAATTTCAACTGATAGTATCTCGTCACGATGAACAAACATCCGTAAGAGAAGAGACGTGATTGAGAACCAGTAAGAAGCACTGGACAGCTGTTTCTCTCGTCCTGTTTTCTGGGACTATTTAGCCCAGTGCATACTCATGACCCCTACACTGGAAGAACCCTGGACATTCAGGTTACGAGACTATTCAGTCACTTCGGGGGCTGGAATTCAATCACCCTTGAATTCTAAATTTTTCAAGCCATGACATAGCGCTGCCATCACCAATGCCTTCAGTGAGCATCCAGTTCACCTTGACATGGTGGACGCCATTGATAAAGACTTCTCGTTGAAGTTTCAGCACATTCATTCAGTAGTCATCGGTGAGCTAAGGATTGATATTTAGGTTGTGGGGATTTATGGGGATTCAGTTTAATATTAATTTCAGTTGCATACTGGTGAAGAGCCCAACATGGGACGAAACAGTAGTTCCGAATACTCCCCGGTTTTCACTTATCTCTCTCTCTAACTACTGTTCGTTCATGCCAAAGTCCCTCGGGTTCCAAGGGAAACATAGGGCTTCCACAGAACATCTACAGTTTATCCCGTCATCTGCGGTCCTCCCTACCTGACCTACGATTTCCTAATATCTCTCATCGCCTCCTCATACGATCTTCTCATTCACGTCAATCAACAGACACACCCAAATTATCGCTTTCCATTGGGATTGTACTCGAGCGATGGCCTGGAGGGCAATGTCACCCAGTAGTGTCCTCAGTGTGTGGCCTAGTCATCTCTATTTTCTTCCACATATTTCCTGAGCAAAAGGTTCTTGATTGCTTCATTCATTGCCAGAGTACCTTGTTTGTAATTCTTTCTATAGGCCATCTGATCCCCAGTATCGAGTCGGCGAATTGGTGAGCTGTCAATGAAATTCCGCAGTAGCTTTCCATGATGCATGAGACAAATTTCCGACTCATCAGTAACTGACTCAGCATTGGTGTTGAAAAACTGAATTCCGCTATTTATGCTGAGTGCAGAAAATTTCCACACAGATTTCACGGTGATGAAGGCATGTCTTGCCTTTTCGATTCTGGATGATTTTGACATCCTCATATGTGTCAGCTGTGGGTAGTTGTATTAATAGTACCTAGATAAGTGAAGGAAGTGACCTCTTACAAATTTCTTCACTTGATACTGATTGGTTGCGGTTGTTGTTACTATTGTTGGTCGGTCTTCATCACCTCCGTCTTCTCAGTGTCCACCTGAAGTCCTGTGTTTGCTGATTCTTCTATCAGTCAGCTTGTTGGTTTTCTTGCCCGCAGATATTCCAGTCCAGATCTTCTAGAGCCTTCTTATCGATCCTATGTATTACTGCCGACTCGTTCCCTACAGTCTGAAACATAATCCAGCCCAGCAGAATTAGAAATATCATCGCTAGTGATAGTAGAAGGCCTTGTCTTACTCTCGTATTTACTTCAAACGCTTCATTGAGTTTTCCATTGTCGACCACTGGACATGTGCCTTCATCATGATGCAGCTG